AAAACTTGCGTCAAAAAGTAAAACTGATAAAACACAAAAAGTAAAACTGATAACTAAACACAACGTAAGCAAACTGATATACAATCTTTACATGCGTTGTATATATATATATATATATACGTGTGTGTGTGTGTGTGTGTGTGGATCCCCACACACAATATACGTAGACACAAACACACTGAGATCAAAAAACAAGAAAACGACATCACAACGGTTATTTTGATTTCTAAAGTTTTCAAAAGCAAAAATACGGTTTTAACTTATTCGTGTCCGACATGATATTGATTGAATTATTTTGTTATTTTATGTGACTTATTTCAAGATCTCATATAATACGTATAAGTTCTTTATTGTTGTTAATAATCAAGTTTTATATACATCTAAAAGGTTTACAGAGTTATCATATGTTTCAATGATAAATTTTAACCTATTATTATAATTATTAAAAGCATTTAATAAATTGTCAAAGTTATGTTAACTTTGCGTTAGGTCACTTAAATTTTGTATATTTATTTATAATTATGTATTTAAATTGTTACTAAAAAAGATCCAAAAATTGAATAAAAAAATGTGACGTAAATATTTGACGTAAATAAACTTTTTCAAACACAAACATCTAGTTTTTTGCTTGTATCGGCCTTTTTTTCTGTATTTACTAACAATTTGTAAATGTGAAAGTTTTGTACAATGAAAAATTAAAACCGTAAAATAATCAAAAGTCGTACGTAACAAATAAAACACGACAATCGCCCATCTCTCAGCTATAATCAAATTGTTATTGATCAAGTTGTTTTAAACTGATAGTAATTAATAAATATACAGACGATTTTTTACTTTTACTCACATATGTACTTACACACGATTTCACATTCATGTACAGTTGTGTATAAAGGAGGAGGGTCCATAAGGCGGGTTTTCGGCCTAATCAGAAAATCATCGAAAACATGTGGAATACATTGTTTGAGACCATACCAATAATATTCAAGTAGCCCAAAACTGTTTATTTGTAAAGCAGTAGATCGTATTTGTCAGCGTTTCTTACTCACAAAATATGGGGGTAGTGAAGTGGACGTGGCTAGGTATGGGAGAGGTAGGAGAAGTACGAGTGTATCCGTTTAGGCTAAAATTGACTGAATATTATTGGTATGGTCTCAAACAATGTATTCTACATGTTTTCGATGATTTTCTGATTGGGCCGAAAATCCGCCTTATGGGCCTTCCTCCTTTCCACGATTCTATATACGATTTTATGAAACTTTTAAATATTTATGCATTTAGATGTATAAGTTACTATGTACGTAAAGAAAAAGTAAAGGTATTTCTTTATTTTTCATAATATAATATCAGAATTAGAGTAAACGTACTCTTAAATGACAAATATACATTCTTGAACAATAAATATCATTAGTTTTGTATTTGTTATAGACTTTTTTAATTTTGTGATCACTGCCTCCGAGTACTGAAAGGTTCCAAGCTAGTTTATACGCTACTGAGTATATCGAAATATCCGGATAATACGGATATTCGAATATAATTCGAAAAGTACTATTCGTACTATTCCCTGCACGAAATATCCAGATATTCGTTGACCAAAGATTATTTGTACATACATATTATATCTGAATATCCGGATGTCTGGATCACAATATTATTCGAATTTAAACCGCAGTTCTAATAGGAATAGAGTCTATGATGATGTATGGATAGAAATATGATTCATACAAAAATTCTAAGTCATATTTTTTTCCCAATAACATCTTTCAATTCAGTATATACTTAAAATACGTTAACAATATTTATTATTAGTAAATAATAGACTAGTATGTGACAAAAATGCATGAGGAGAATGTGAAGATTAGTTTGGATATAAAGTTAGTATGTGTCCCGTATTAAAGCGCTTACGTCTGTGCATGCCTGTGCAGACGCAAGCGCTTTAATACGGGACTTATATCCCACACAATAAAATTGCCGTATCATTTTTACTGTCTTATACTAGTGGAATATATAAGAGGTGAAATATACAATATTTAGCTAGCTAAATAAGAAATACAAAAGTTACGTACTTATAATTTGCTATACTCTACTCTTTATTACCTTTGTATATCGCAAAATAATCACTAAAAAACGTTTTATAAATCTTAGTTATCATTTTATGCATCTGTAAAATATGGTTGCGCTACTTATCACGCGTTAGCGACTAAAACGACTAAATAAAAAAATAGGGAGGAGGCAATAACGAGCTACATCTGGTGTTCAAGTAAAATTCTTCTTTATTCCGAGGATTTAATAAAGATACAAACGTTTCGATCCACTATGGGATCTTCTTCAGTGTCTATACATTAAAAAATTACAATGAATACATGATCTATTCGCAACGATAATGAAGAATATGAATACAGAAAAGATACGCTATGAATATAGTTTGAAAAAAATGAGAGAGGGAAGTGACAACTAAGTAACGTTCGTAAATAATGAGGCCACGTCTAAAGTCAGAAGAACGTGATCCGCACGGAGAAAACTGTTATGGTTGCTAAAATCACATTATTTATGCATAGAAAAGCAAGTGATATGAATTCAAGTTAAATAGATATTATATCAAAAATTGCTGTTGACATGAGCTCATTTATACAGTTCGCACAGCCATATTTAAATGATACGTAATATTCAATTAGTATATTCTAATATATTGTTGCCTCAACCAAAAGAATATTGATATATGTAGTCAAAGTTTTTAAAGGCACAGTGATATAGGTCTTATTGATAGAGCCTTCTTTTTATCTCATCCTGACTTTCATAATAAAAACTTTGACTACATAATTAACATACTCCTTGATAATAATTATCCTCTTGACTTCATTTATAATATTTTTAAACAAAGACTAAAATATAATTTTTTAAAGAATAATGACTTAAAGACCTTCTTGACTAATAATATCCTTGACGAAAAACCTTCTCGTTGGTTTGTGATGCCTTATATATATAATTTCTCTGAAAAATTTTCGTCAACCTTTTTCAAAGAGACTGACACACACCTTGCTTTCTACAGTCTTAATAAATTTTCCAGGTTCATTAAAGTACAAAAGAATCCTTTACCTCCCCTTTCTTGTCCTTTTGTTGTTTATAAAATTAACTGCAATGATTGTGAGGCTTCCTATGTAGGCCAGACTGGTAGGGTTTTGCAGTCCAGAATTAATGAACACAAAAATCACATTAAACGTAACATTACACAAACCTCTGTTATCACAGATTATAGAATTAATTATTCCCACGATTTCTCGTGGGATAATGTCAAAATTCTGGATTGTGAAAAACACTATCATAAGCGACTAATTTCTGAAACACTATACATTAACAAACAAACACACGGTCTCAATTTGAACAGTGACACGGAAAATCTAGACAAATCATATTTACCATTTGTCGTTAATACAACTTAAACTTTCCATTGCGCATGCTTCGACCTCTGAATTCACTGTTCATCTTGATGTATTTTTCAAATTTTCAATCAGTAATTGACAGCTTACGTGTTAACATGTGTCCATCTCGTTACACGAGGACTTTAATAACAGCATATTACTGTAAGTTTATATTAATTTTACAATGCGTATTTTGTATTAAAAAATTTTTTTGTTTTTTGAAATCTATTGTTTTTATATTCAATTTGTAGAAAGATTTTGATAAAGACCTAAACCGTTGGTCAAAACGTTACCACATTATACATACACATTACATCTTGAAATAAAAATCATCTTCACGTGTTTGCACAACAACATCCGTGTCTTGCTTCAACTGCCTCTCATCTGGTTTTTTAACAAATTATTTTGTTGTACCTTCTATCAATAAATTATCGTACACAAATTTTGAAATCGTTGAAAAAGGAAGATGGAAATTTGTTAGCTTATAGAAGTCTCAATAAATTGAATCGATTTATTAAAAATATCAAAGATCCGGTGGAAATTGAACAAAGAAAAAACGTAGTTTATAAGTTGCAATGTAATGATTGCGATACTTTGTATGTAGGCCAGACTATAAGAAAACTCAAAACTAGGGTCTCCGAACACAAAAATCAGATTAATCGTCGCGCGGAGAATGTTTCTGTCGTTACACAGCATAAAATTGATATGAACCACAATTTCAATTGGCAAAATATTAAAGTTTTGAACACAGAATCTTTAGTTTTTAAGAGGTTAGTCTCCGAGATAATACACAACAAATTACAAGGCAATTCAATTAACGTCATGTCGGACACGGACAAGCTGAAACCGTATTTTTTATTTTTAGAAAATTCAACCCGACATAGTCATTCTCCGTTTGTTTTTAAGCGTTGTGGTGAGGTGAGGAGACTGTTACATGTACCATAAATGTGGGAGAAGAGGATTGCTCAGTTTTTCGGTTGTCTTCGAAGCGAGAAGACGTTTCGCGTCTTCTTACATACAACTGACGGTTACTTTGTTGCCACTTCCCTCTCTCTTTTTTCCTCAAACTATATTTGTAGCGTATCTTTTCTGTATCTATATATTTTTCATTATTGTTGCAAATAGATCATGTATTCATTGTAATTTTTTTATGTAGAGACACTGAAGAAGATCCCATAATGGATCGAAACGTTTGTATCTTTATTAAATCCTTGGAAGAAAGAAGAATTTTATCCGAACATCAGATGTAGTTTGTTATTGCCTTCTCCCTATTTTTTATTTAAACATACAACGAGCACATATAATTAAAAACATATAATTAAAATAACTAACATGCTCACAAATCGACTAAACTGACAATAGTTTTGTTAGTAGCACAATAAAAAGCTGAAATCACAATACAATACTAATATAACATAAAGGTACGTAACAAAGTGATTACACGCAAATTATTCTTATTGTTAGTTTTATTTTTTCTGATCTGTGCGGCATAAAACTCGGCGCAGCCCAAATTTCGGAGTTACCTTATATTACTCTATATTTATTTTTAAATATGTATTAAATAACTATATTTATTATGTGCAGTTAAAAATAAGATGTCAAATCATTGTGGATGAGCCAAAACTACCGCATCGCGGTCTCTTAGTAGATACTTCACGCCACTATTTTCCTTTATCTGACATCTTGTTGACATTAGATGCTATGTCGTACAACAAGCTAAATGTTCTTCACTGGCATATTGTCGATGACAATAGTTTTCCGTATCAAAGCACCAGATATCCCGATTTATCCACCAAAGGAGCTTATCATCCCTCAATGATTTACACTCCCAATGACGTACAGAAAGTCGTTGATTATGCAAGATTACGAGGGATTCGAGTAATGCCTGAGTTTGACACACCTGGACATACTAGATCATGGGGTTTGGCATATCCGGAATTATTAACTTTATGTTACGGTAATTAACTATATTCTAGTAAAAGTTTTATTGCTATAAAAGAAAAATACTTATTAGTCTAAAAAGTCAAATTGTATATAAATATTTTTTGCTTTTGTACATTCTTTGTTGTTATACATATGTATATAAAACAATAACACATATGTATTAATAATATACATGATGTTCTACAAATTGTGACCAAGCCGAAAAGTGATAGTCAATCTGAACAGAAAAATTATATATCATTGTGCAAAATTTGCAATAGTTATTGAGTAGTTACTTAATAATTATGAGCCAATGACTGCGCGAAAAGAGACTGGTTCGGACTCTGTAGGTGTATACTTTTATGAGCTGTAAAGAAAGATGGCTTATGCAATGTTCTAACATGAGAAACGGAGAAACAAGCAAGCGCGACGTGTGACGTGTGGTGTGTGAGCTTCTTGCAATCAGCTGATATTGTGACGGAGTAGAGCTTCGTCACCAAGTTTTTTTTTTGTTCTTTTTATATTTTTTCTTTTTTTTTGACTATTTTTTTTGAACAAAGAAATAACTCAAATATTTAAAACTCCCGCGCTTTATCACAAGCCGGCTTTATTACCTACCGGCTGTATCTCTATGAAAACACGCGAAACCCGTACCGCGGTAGCAAGCCCGCGCGCGAGTCACTCTACCAAGGCATGATACACCGCACAAATAAGTGCGCTCTGCACGCCGACCTCGGACAGGACGTAGAGCGCCCGCCGGGTATATAAGCCGGCCGAAATCGGCGACAGAGTTGCAAGATCAAGCCGGCAGCAACGAGAGCATCGAAGCAGTGGGGACACGCACACAAGCGAGAACCAGTGTTCTCAGGTTTTGCTCTCTTACAGCATTCTGAAGCGGTGGAAGAGATGTGTACAACAGCAGTAAGTTCATGCAGTTAGAACTCGTTGATGTTGTGCGCATCCCCTCCACCGGTTTAGCATGCTGTAAGAGAGCCAAAACTGAGAACACTGGCGAGAACCGTCGTCCGTGTGCGCTCGGCTGTTCGACTTGTGTCGAACTGGAAGAGTGTAGACGTACTATGTTCTATCGCTTTCCCATCAAGCCGACCAAAGGCCGACACGTTGCGCGCTGTTCTTGCGTACGACAACGTCTTGAAACACTTTTTTTTTTTGCGCGCGCGAAACTTATTGTCTAGTTAAAAGTACATAATATTATTGAGAATAGTAAAACACTTCAATACGTATTATGTATTTATGTAAATTATTAATAGTGAATTAACTGCGATCTAAACTTTTTATATTATTTTATGTTTAATTTATTTGTATAAATTTGTGTATACATATACAGGGTGTCCCAGAATTGCCGTACAATCTCTCGTAGGCAGGTAGAAGGAGTAAAACTGAGTCGAAAAGTCCTGAACTATTTTTTTCTATTATTTATAATAAAGGAGTAATTATTGAGTAAATCAGGCCAATCAGCGCAGATCTTTAGCCAGGCGCACGTCAGTGAGCCGCGCGCCTAGTGTGTGTGAGTATATATATTAAACTTTCAAAAATATAGAAAGAAAGGTCGATATGAGCAAAGATCTGAATGTTTTTGGTGAATATATTTATCACTTGTCAGTAAATATCTCTCTTTACCAAAAAATTCTAACAACCAAATTTTTAACGTTATTGCGATATAGTAACATTATGCATCGTTACCTTAATGATATCGTAGTAACACAGATTTGGTTAGGTTAGGTTAGGTTAGGTTGGTTAGGTTAAGTCCATAGACATATAAGAAATAGACTGCGCGTCCCGTATCTTTTCTGAGCAGAAAGAATGGTCAAACTTCGGACGAGGATAGATGCTTTCACCCGAGTCTCTATCCTTGTTTAGTGACGCGGTGATTGGCGGACAAGAAAAGTAGTAGGAATGAGAAATAGCGTAGTGGGGCAATAGAGGAGCATCGAGCGATGAAG